ATATATATATATATATATATATATATATATATATTCACACACATACATACATACATACATATATCGGTCTTGGTATTAGTATCATCATCCATCTTATCAGTTCTTAGCCATAACTTTTTTTGTTTCCTTGCGTTGCTTGTGCGGTCCTTTGAAAATGTGTAATTGTTATCCAAACTCTCCAGCATCCTAAAATGTGGGCAGTCGGTGTGATGTATTCCAGCAGAGTGGCAAACTTTCTGTGAAGTCACTGCTGTAAAACTCTCGGCCTGACTGGTGTGTTACAATTTCAAAACACATCAAATCAAAAGCAAGTTACGGCTTCAGATGTTCCCTTTTTTAGTAAACACTTGAACTCCAACACCTCATTTCCCAGCAAACTCTCAGGTTAAATCAGACGCTATGCGGGCTGCTGGGAAGAGAATATTTATCAAATGGGAAACTTCATAACCCATCCATCACTGCCTGTGTTGACTCTTGGTTCACACCGCTTTCAGATGCTTTCTTTTTTCTTTTAAATGATTTCAAAGTACGTCAGAATTCGACACCAGGATGAGGATCAAAAGCCGCAAGGAGCCGCTTTAAATCCAGATCTGTAAACTCTCAGGACTCGCACATCTTCAGGTGTGACTAGAATAAAATCAGACATTTATCAGCTGAATAGCAGTAAACCGGTTTTACAAAGAAGCTGTGAGTTGAGTCTTAAACAAGGTTTTAAAGCTTCCCGACGTTTTCCTGTTGTTGATCCTGGAACAAGATTCCTGTCAAACTCTATCAAAGACAATAGAAACTACCCATACAAACCAGAAGGTTGTTGAAGCCCCAACCCTAAAATTTGATTGAATATTGTTCTTGGAAAATCAGGTGAGGTCACCAAGATCAACATCCTTGTAAGTACTGGAAGAGCCAAACAGATTTATACCAACTGGAGAAACCGATCAGTAGACATTCCCATTCTGCATCAAATTCTGCTGAGATCTGCTTGTGTAGTGATCGATGTGTTTTAGATTGACAGGTGTCAACACTGACCTGTCACTCTCACAGATTCTGGACATTTGACTAGTTTCATAGAGGAAATGTATTTATTTAACATTCTGAAACGTTATTATTTATTTTTTATTAATTTATTTTTACATAAATTTTTTTTTCAGTATGAAACTTTTTTTTTTTTAAACGGCTGTATTTCACATTCTGAAACTTGTTTGTTTGTATTTATTTATGTATTATTAATTGTTTGTTTGGTTTTATTTATTTATTATTTAGACATGTTTTTTTTTCATTTATTCATTTTTTTGACATTTTATTTTATGTACTGAAAATGTATTATTTTTTTTTACAGACTATGTATTTCACTTTCAGATGAACTTTAGTTGGACATTTATTTATTTATATTTCAGGCAATGAACAATTTCTATTGTTTGTTGTGTTTTATTTATTTATTTGTATCATTGCATTGCATTATGATAAGTGTCAGTTGCTTGTTTGGATCATGTGAACCAACTCTCATTCAATCTCGAGTCTAAAGATCTACTCGCAAACTCAGTTTGTCAAACACGCGTGTTCATGGCTCATTGATCATCTGTGCTCTCTTTATTGATCGGGGTGTTGGAGAGTATTTTAGTATTTGTGTTTTATGACCATCTTGAGGTTCATCTTTCACTCCTCAGGCTGTTCAGCACAGCTGGATTAGCTCTGAGCGCAGAGGGACTGATGAGAAATATCAGCAGCCAGTGTCTCTGATGATCATCAGATGAGGCTCTTGACACCTTCATGTCGTTTCTTAAACAATGTGAAGTCACTCCGATTCCTCATTGTTCATCCTTACAGAGTTTGGACAGCACAATTCAGCAGAAATTAACACAATCCTCAAAAATGCTTTTTTATGCTGGCTAACTCTGATTTTCCCCCTCTTTTTCAATTTATGTAACATGTTTTAAAGGATTTTTAGAGCATTGATCATGCTAATATATATTTTTTTGTGAATTCTAGGGTGCTGCACTGAAATACGTCCCGACTATCGTCAATGATCTGAAACTGGTCTTTGATCCAAAGGAGCTCAGGTGAGTTTATCTTTATTTTTATCTTTTTTGAATAAAGATCTTTATTAACTGTTGTTGTTAGTAGCATGTTTTAATAATGCATGTTTGCACACAGGCAAAAGTAAATAATGAGTTTAAGAAAAGTGAGTGTTTTGCAGTGTTGTGTATTTGAAGAATGAGCAACAAATTGAAAACCTTTTTATTTTATTTTGTTTATTTTAATTTTGGTTTCATTACATTATTTTATTTGAATTTTTGAATTTTTATAATCATATGAGTGAATGTCCATGAGTTTTAAACACAAAATTTCACTTCTGAAATAAATAAATTTAAGTAAATTAATAAACACAAACAATCAAATTACATTGTTGTCCATCTTGCCTCAACCTTTTAACTTGAAATGTGGGTGTCTCCCAGCTATTAATTGTATTTAGTTTTTACTTTATATTGTATTGTATTTTTAATTTTTTAATTTTTTTTTAATTTTTTTATTTTTTATAAACATATCAGAATGTCTTTATGATATTTAAACAAAAAAATCATTTCTGAAATAAATAAATGAGGCACTAATTTATATATATATATATATATATATAATATATATAATTTATTTTATTTATTTCTTTTTTATTATTATTTATTTTTTAGCTGAAATGTTTAATGTCATCTGGCTAGTAACTGTATCGGCTTAGAATTACCCTTATTTTACTTTTAGTTTTTTACTTATACAATATCGCTCTGCTCAATATTGCCGCTCATCCTGTCTCTCTCTCCTCATGTCTCCCTGCCTGTCCCGTCTCACTCCTCATCCTGTCTGTTTTCTGTTTTCCACATGCTGTGTCTCTCACAAACAAAAACCAATATTGTTATCCTCACCCTGTCTCTCTTTCCCCATGTCTCTCTCTCTCGTTTGTCTCTCCTCATGCCTTTCATCTCCTCCCGTGTCTCTCCTCGTGTGTCTGTCTCCATCTAAGTGACTGAGAGGCTGCTAATGAAATCAGGTCTGAGTAGTGGAGTTCTTCAGTCTGATGCTCCTCACACGTTTCAAACACTGGATCCGATCATCATTAACATCTTTCTGCCTGATGAACTTTTGTTCGTGTGTCATTACAGTTACCATGTCGCTTTGCCGCTCGAGGCTTTCTCATATGCTTTAGATTCAACACACAATCAGCGCAAAGTGATCCCGTTGCCGTGGAGATGCGGCGGTCACTCGCCCATCCCGTCTGTTGGTCTGGATAATGCGTTCCTCCCTGAGTGGCATTATAATGGAGTTAGGCGGCTCTTGTGATGGCTACATTTACTGCACACACACACACACAGTGAGAGATGATGGCATGAATCCTGCTGCTTCTCAGAAGTTTAGCTGACAACGGCCTTTCCTCACCAAACCAATTTTCCTAGACGTGACATTTGTAACAGCGGGATTCTTGTTAGATTCCCAGAATAATTTGTGTTCTTGTTGTGTTTGGCTGCAGATGTTGCTGTATAAGTGATGTTTCACACTGAGATTTGTTGAATGCTTGTGTGCATGCATATAAACTAGTTACAGCCAAGAACAGCTAGTGGTCAGCTGATATGGGTTGGTCAGTAGCTGATGGTGTATTTAACAGCTGGTTGAGAGAATAAACCTGGCCTCTTTCCCTTTTCCCATTTTCCTTTTGTCTCGCCTTTCATTTTCTATTTCTTTCCCTTTTTCTTTTCATTTGCTTTTCTTTTACATTTCCCTTTTCTTTCCACCTCCTTTCCTCCTTCACCTTTCTCTTTCTGTTTGCTTTCCTTCCTGTTTACATTCCTATGATTACAGTAATGGGTAAAAGGCACTGTTAGACATGGCAAGCATCACATAATCTCTTTTTATTTTATTTTATTATTATTATTTTTTTCTCAGTTTAATATGCAGAGACAAAAGTAAGGAAGTCTGTTGTATCTGTTGATTCTCCCAAAAAGTAAAACCATAGATTCTGACTTTTGTTTGCCTGACCAATGATGGACGAGCCAGTTCAGGTGCTTCAGGAAATGTGTTTTGCACTATTGACTATCGTTGAGGACAGAAAAAAATGACTGGAGGCCTGGTTAGCACACACTGAGTTATTATTGTGCTGTTTGCTCAGAGTTCATTGTGACAGAAGTGTGTTTACCCAGCAGAGAGGTCGCGGGTTCCACACACACACACACACACACAGACCAAACAAACGCTGAATGAGGCCATCTCTGAATTCTGTCATTGTCTGCCAGACCGCTCTCATCCCGCTTTCTTCAAGTGCCAGTTCTTTCCACAAAAAGAGCCGCTGCTCTCCTGTTGTGCCCTGGGCTCGAGTGTGTGTGTGTTGAGATGAGGACAGAGAGGTGTAGCACTTAGCATGTTTTAGAAATGAGCTGTCACTTCAACAGCAAGTAGAGATGAGAAGAGAGGCATGCGCAAACACTCTCACACACACACACCTGTTAGTGTTAACTAAGTTCTAGTTGTGCAGTTAAAAGCAGTGCTGACCCCCCCCCCTCTCTCTCTCTCTCTCTCTCTCTCTCTCTCTCTTTCTGCAGTAAGCTGTTCAGTGAGTTTATTCTCAAAGTTCCTCTGGGGCGTCTGGTGAAGCAGAAGTTGAACTGCATGATTGACATCGTCCACAGCGACCTGTTTACTCAGCATGGTACGTATATACAGACAGACACACACACACACACACACACACACACACATTCTCTCTAAAGGTCGCTTCATGCTGTGAGCTGCGTGAGATGCTGCGATTAATGCGTTTTGTGGAAGTGCATCTCTTCTGATGTTATTGATGGTAAAATATGAGGCCTTATGTTTACAGTGCAGTGGTAGAACCTTTTTAACTTGACCTGCCCAATAGAAATGGGTTATTTATATTTATTTTATTTTATTTGACTTTGAATATAAAAATTAATCCGTACCCATATTGGTCTCCATTTTCCCATTTAAACTTTAGTAAAATAAAATTGAGTTAACTTTATTTAACTTTAGTTAACTTTAAATGACCTGGCCGGTATGAATTTCATTGCATTGCATTGCAAAAGTATTAGCATGAATAAGAAAATTAAATTAGACAAAATTTTGATTGGCCAGTTAAGAATTTAAAAAATATGACCAGTTAGCAACTTATGGCAACTAATGTTTTCAAATTACTTTAACGCATCAAAATAAGTTGAGCAATTTCAACTTTTTTTTAAAGTTACATGAGATTCAACTTGATTTTAAAGTCAGTTTAATATCAATTAATTTGAAATTACTTGGTAACACTTTACAATAAGGTTCCGGCAAAAGTATTAGCATGAATAAGAAAATTAAATTAGACAAAATTTTGATTGGCCAGTTAAGAATTTAAAAAAATATGACCAGTTAGCAACTTATGGCAACTAATGTTTTCAAATTACTTTAACGCATCAAAATAAGTTGAGCAATTTCAACTTTTTTTTAAAGTTACATGAGATTCAACTTGATTTTAAAGTCAGTTTAATATCAATTAATTTGAAATTACTTGGTAACACTTTACAATAAGGTTCCGTTAGTTAATGTTAGTTAATGTATTAACTAACATGAACAAACATGAACAAACAATGAAAAATACATTTATTACAGTATTTATTAATCTTTGTTAATGTTAGTTAATGAAAATACAGTTGTTCATAGTTAGTTCATGTTAATTCACAGCGCATTAACTAATGCTAACAAGCACAACCTTTGATTTTAATAATGCAGTAGTAACTGTTGAAATTAACATGAACTAAGATTAATAAATGCTGTAGAAGTATTGTTCATGCTTAGTTCATGTTAACTAAAGTTGTTAACTAATGAACCTTATTGTAAAGTGTTACCAATTACTTCATAAATTTGATCATACTCGGAAATGTACGGCAGCAACTCAACTTAATTTTTTAAGTTAAAATGGATGGATTTTTCTTTTGCTGTTTTTCTCTGCTGCTTGCAACCCATTGAAACTGACCTTGCACTCATTTTTGGGTTGCAACTTACTAGTTAAGAATCACTTTGTTATATTGTATTAATGTCTGATTTAAGAAGCACTTGTAATTGCTTAACCACCCTTTGATATGATACAGTTGTCTGCAGAAAGTTCTGTATTGGGACGTTTCTTGCAGAAATCCTCATGAATGTTTGTCAATGGCATGCATGATGCAGTGTGTAACAATGGTGTGTGTGTGTGTGTTAAAGCAGTGACATATGGCAGCTCTGCGGGTAGATTGTAAGTAGATGCACGTCATTCAGCAGTAATTATCTGTGGATGTGTCTTCTGTTCTGATTTAATTAAATCACTCATCACGCGTCCTTGCGCTGTCTCATGCGCTTCAGTCTCTCTCACTCTCATAAGGAACGACAGAAAGAAATCAGGATTTAATGAATGAGACCAATAAAAAATTTGATTCATTTCCAAATAATCAGATTATTTGGTAAATATTCCACAAGCGTTAATTGTTTGTTAAATTATGATGAATATTATTTTTGTGAATTATTACTTATTTTTGGAAGAGTTCTCAGGTACAGTGAATTAATATTATATAATATAACTTATTTTTGTAAGCTGGTTAAATAATAGTTTAGCTGACTGAATTTTAAAAAACATTTCTGGGTTTGTCATTTCTTCAGACCTCTGTGCTTTGAAAGCAGCTGCTGGTCTTTCAAACTCTGCCAGTGTTTGTGGCACCAGTAGTAGTGGAAAAATGAGATTTGAGAAGTTGTTGAGCTGTAGATCTTTTTGTCGTGTCTCGCTGAAGGGCGGCTCATCTCAGAGTGTGTTTGCGGCCGCTGATTCCTCCAGCACGCACTTTCCAGTGCCAACAGATCCACTGGAATAAATTACCCACAAATGGGCCTGTCTAACCTGAACAAATGTGTTGAGCGTTCGCGGCTGGTGTCACTTGTTGTTTTCTGAGCAATGTGTGTGTGTGTGGGGTTCGTTGCGCTTCAGCACAGATTTGTTAACTTCCATTTATTCTAAACATATTTAGCTAATGTAAACTTCACATGATTGTTGACTCGCGCAAATGACGTGTTTCCAGAGGATTTCACTTTTCGTTTCAGTCTAATGAGCGTTATTCTGAAGTTAATTTCTGAGTTCTGTTTGACCGCATACTACTATGCATTTTTAATGGTTGTTTTCCCAGGTGAGCGAGAGTGACTATTACTAACGCTCATTCTGGAGGTTGCCGATCTTATCAAAGGTCAAGCACCACTCACATTTTCTTCAGAAAATGTCAAATGCAGTGTTTAAATTGGTGCCACACATCAATATGAAATCATGGACAACCATAAAGCCTGTGATTAAATGCTTTTCACTTCTGTAAACACAGACTGATGATTGGTTTCATCATCATCCAATTCATGATGACTGTGCCTTTTGACTTGGAGTATAACGTCTTTTATTTATTTATTTTAATATATATTTATGCATTTATTTCTGCACTTATTCATGCATTTATATAAGGATTTATTTATTTTATATTATTTTAATGCACTTGTACATTAATGTATTTATTAATTTTAAGGCATTTATTTATTTAAGCATTTAGTTATGCATGCATTATTTTATTCTTTTTATTATTAATTTTATTTTAAGTAATAAGTAATATCTCTGATGAAACATAAATTAAACTTTTCCCCTGGCTTTACAATCTCAGTTTAGTCTGCTGAAGATGTAGATTCAGTGCTTTTCTCTCTCTTCTTTGGTCGCTCTCACTTTCTAGCCTTGGTCTGAGTTTCCTACCTAGACGGTATTTTAAGGCATCATTGCACATGTGTGAAAGCCGTTCCAAACAGTAGAGCGCTTAATCCAGCTTCCTTATGATACCTAATATTTTCAGAATTTGATGCGTCTCCATATGCATTTTCAGTCACTGCAGTATATCCTCAACAATCAGACACAAAACTGAATGTTAGCAAGGGTGACTGTGCTTCTCAATGACCATCTTTATCAAATGATTCTTTAATTTAATGTAAAGAAGTGAACCTTAAATTACAGGAGCCAGTGGCTCTGTAGTCGATGTTTCAGTCTGAGTAAAGCCGCTCTCTGAGCTTTGGATCAGTCTCTCCGTGTCTCCTGTAACCTGTTGTTCCCTCTCTAAATGCACAGAGGCTAGATGAATGTTTTCAGCCGACGAAAGTAACATCAGTGTTCATCTGAAAGGTTGTAAATGCACTGCTGTAAAAACTTTCACTGACCTTCTGTCCGACTGAACAGGAGTGTGAAAACAGCATCTGCGATTCTCCTTTTGCATTTTATGAAGGTAACACGGGAAACTCTGCTCTTCTAAAAGAGATGCACCACTCATTGTGCTGACCTGGACGACCCTGAACTGAAATGAACCTGCAGATTGATCTTTGCATTTAGTTCCTTTACAGCAACCATGTCTTTGTACTAACTATTGATTTGTTTGTTTTATTACATTTTTTATATGCATTTGTTTATATTCATTTAATTTATGGATTTATTTTTGTTTTATTTATTTTTTCATTTATGTATCTACTTATTTATTTTAATTAAATTTTTATTTATACATGTATTTACATTTGAATGCGTTTATGCATTTATTTATGTATCTGTTTTCTTTTTATTTATATTTTATTTATATTCTTTTTATTTTATTTCCATGTGATTTTTAGAGAATTAAATGTAAAATCCTTCATGCCACAATGATAGACCGCTATTCAACAGTGATAACTCATGCAAATAATGGTGCAGGTTATTACCACATATTTCCACATATAAACAAATAAATAAATATATTATTAATAATAATAATAATAATTATTATTATAATTAGTAAGCAATTGAAGTTTCAGTTTTAATTATTTTATTATGCAAGAAAAGAGAGAATGTGGGACATATTTGGCCACAGATGACCATGATCAGAATCAAATACTCTAGCAATTCATATAATATGTATTGATTATTAACATAACTCCGCATAAAAAGTATGGAAAACATAAATGTAAAAACGTTAAATTCAGCAGTTATTTGTTTCTCTGAAAAATGCATGGTTTCAGCTTGGTACTTTTTAAATCTAAACTTTACCATCTAGATTACAAGAAAACTATTGAAATAAATGGCTGCGCGTTCATTGCTGTTGTTTGTAGCTGTGTGTTTGTTGACGTGTCCTGGGAATCTCAGACTTCTGTCCTGGAATAGCTTGTGCAAAGTTTGTCTTTGTTGAGTAAAATGAAGGAAAGCAGAAGTCAGGACTCATTTGAGGAAACCCGGCTCACTGCTAATGTCAGACGCTGTGAGTTATACTGCTGTGACCCTGATTTTAATTCTGCCTGGTAAAGTGCAATCTCAAAGTTCACGGACAGGTCAGTTATTTAATGCATAAGTGTATTGTGCATGCGGTCGTAAAAGGATAGTGTGGATTTATTTGCACGAGTTTAAACTGGCCTGAACAGCATGATAAATGAGCTTTCAGGAAAGCCAGCGGGAGTTTCTGTGTGTGTTTGCTCCAGTAATGACTCCTCATTGAAGAAAAACAGATTTACATTGATTCAACTGTCACAGACTCACAAAACCCCGCCTACTATGTTGATTGACAGATTATGTGCCACGCCCACTTCCTGTTTTATTGGTTTTATGGCATTTGATTTCTTTCCCTGTAGCTATGGAGCAGATGTCAATCTGCACTTTCAAGTGGTGTGTGTGTGTGTGTGTGATGAGATGAGATGAGATCTGTTTGTAGTCTGCAAGGATAGAGAGATTTTGTTGAGGCCTTTTAATCAGAAAATATTTGGCCATTTTGTTCCTTGACAATTCATAGTACAAACACTTGTTTGTTTGTATTTTTATTAAAATATAGTTGGTTCTTTTAATTCCAGCATGTTCACATCTATTTTTATTTACTTTCTTTTATTATACCAAATTATTGTTATAATCAAAGACACTCATTATACTCTCATTTGGTCAGTAATGTTATACCATTTATTTGTTTTGACTTGATTTAAAACTAGATTTTATGGTTTTAAAAAGATTTAGATTTTCACATTTTCAGTATGATCTACTCATGTATTTGTTCATTTTCTATTTATTTAGAATTTTGAATAAAAAAATTGTTTTCTTCAGCGCTTTCAACTTTTTTATTTTTATTTGTAATTTTTTTAATTTTAGAACTTTTAATAAAATAATTGTTCTTTTAAATGCAGCATTTTCAACTTTATATTATTTTTATTTTTTATTACAAGTTGTCTTTATAATCATTGATGCTCATTTACTTGCATTTGCTTAGTCACCTACGTTTTATTTATTTAGAATTTTTAATAAAAATAAACTGTTCTTTTTAATTCAGCATTTACAAATCTTTTATTTTATATAAATTGTCATGATGCATATACATTTTCATTAACTCATCTGGTTATGTTTGGTTAGCTGTAGTGCAGAAGACTAAATCTTTCTGGTTTATTTTATGTAATACAATTTATTTGTTTTGAATTTTTAAGATTTTGTGGTTTTGAAAAGATTTAGATTTCCATGTTTTCAATGTGGTCTATAGTTATTTATTTAAAAACAGGTCGGCTAGTAGGCTGATATATTTAATATTTCAGGTCTGCGAGTTTGCTCACTTCAGCTTGTAAAGAGGTTATTTCACCTGTTGTGTGTGTGTGTGTGTGTGTGTGTAGACTGCAGAGAGATCCTGTTGCCTTTGATGACGGAGCAGCTCAAACTTCACCTGGAGAATCATGAAGAGCTGGACTCCTGCTGTCAGCTGCTCAGCAACATCCTGGAGGTGCTTTACAGGAAGGATGTGGTGAGAAACACACACACACACACACACACACACACACACACACACACACACACACACACACACAGACAGGTCTCTGCTTTTTTTCCACCCCAAAATGGAAAAGCAAAGTCTCCTAAAGTGGAGTATTCACTGTAAAGTGTTCACTGAAAGGCAATTCTGTGTGTTTATCTCATGTCACATCCTTCATCTTTAATGACCGGTATGTGACCCACTCAGAGATGTGATTTTATTTAATTATGGTTGGTTAATTTTTGGCTCGTGTTCTGACTGTTAATGGGCTTCTATGGCGCTCGACTGCAATTTACCCGGGCAGATATCCAGATGCACTGCTCTCTTCTCCGTCATTTGATCAATCACTGCCGTCGTGATCAATAGAAAACTTCCATAACGTCTCTGTTAAATGAAATGTCCTTTAGTGCTACTTTTAGAATAAGTGCATTTTTAAAGTCTCATTTGCATAAGGTTTTTTTTTTGTATATTGAGTGGTTTTGAATAATAGAGTGATTAAATACTTGACAGTAAACTGCATATTAAACACTCTCACCTTTACTGTAGTTCTGTGTACTAAACTAAAACTAAAATTGTTTTTTTTTTACTTGAAATCAAATAAACTTAAATATAAAAATATATATATATAAAAGCATAAACTAAACCTAAACTAATTTTCATTTAGTTTAACTTGCTGTACTAAAATAACTGAATTAAAATGAATAAAAACTGTATAGAAAACTATATAGACTAAATCTAAACGATATAGACTTAGTTAAAAAACTAATAAAAGTGACAACACAATGAAAATACTAGAACTTTAACTAAAATTAAAAACTCAGGAAATATAACAATAAAATGTACTAAAATAACTAAAACTGATAAAAATTAATGCAAAAAAAATATAGACATTAAAACAACTAATAAAAATGTCAAAAACATAACAAAATTACTAAAACTTTAACAAAAAATGAAAGTAGAGAATAAAAAAATAACATACTAAAATAACTAAAACGGCAAAAGCTATAGACATTAAAAAAACTAATACAAATGACAAACATTTTTTTTACAAATTTGAATGAAAGCAGAAAATATAAAAACAAAATGTGCTAAAATAACTAAAACCGAAATGAAAAATTATTTTAAAAACTAAATGGATATTACAACTATCTATAGTTTTTTTTTATTTATTTTTATTTTTTTAGCAAAACTGACATCCAAAATGGAAAAAATAAATTACTCCCTAAAACCCATTAAATTAAAAAGAAAATCTAAAAATAAGAACTAATTCAAATATTAATAAAAACTATAATAGTATCTTGAAGATACTAAAATAACACTGCTTTACACACGCATGTATGTATGTCACTGATTTCCTCACTACCTGGTGTTGTGGGTGAAGCATCCTTTGAACCATTGTGCGAGTGGGTGTGTGTGAGTGTATGCTTGATAATTGAGTGTGTGCGTGTGTGTTACGTAATAAGCACGTCACAGTCTAGCGCAGAGCTCTCTCTCTCTCTCTCTCTCTCTCTCTCTCTCTCTCTCTCTCTCTCACTCACTCTCATCTGTGGTTGGAGATCAGCAGCATCCTTTGAGGAGGACCTTGGAAAAGCTTGTTTAATAATTGACGATCTGCTGTGAGTGTATCAGGATGGCCTCTAACACACACACACACACACACACACACACACACATACACACAGCTTGCTGTTTCTTTGCAATTAATTGTGAAATTGACTGGAAATGAGAATTGTTTCTACACCAAATGTTTTTCCTTGTAGAAAACACAATTTACTGCCTATAGATATTTCATACCGGCCATGAAAATTGTATTTATTTATTTATTTAAATTGATTTTTTTAAGTGAAAAAAATCATGACATGCTATTCTGATAAATCAAATTAATCATATATTTGCATGTACAATTATTTAATGATAAAATATAATAATTTTAATGTGTGAATTTTGTAAATGTTTGTCGTTTTCTAAATGTCAAAATTAGATAATTCACAGAACTTGTGTCAAATGAGGAAGTCACTGAATAGACAAAATACATTTAAAGGTTAATCTATTGTTTATTTTATAAACACAAGGTCATGTTCAGCATGAACGTGTCTGAAATTGACAGAATTTAATAAAGAAAAAAGATTTCAATTCTCATGTTACTTATTTCAGCGAGGTTAAGATTATCATTCATGCGGCTTGATATAAATGATGTATTATGCTGCAATTCCAGATAAATGGTGAGAAACTTATGATTGATTGATTCTTTTTTTTTTTTTTTTTTTTAGACCAATTAAGGCCACTGAAACGGTGTTTGTCACTGTTTGTTCGGAAAATGTTGTCTTATGTGTAGGGTTGGGTATCGTTTGAATTTGATTGATTCTGATTCCAGTTCTGCTTATCAATTCCAATTCTTATCGATTCCTAATTCCGATTCCAATAAGATTAAAAAATCCATTAAACAAATTTAGATGTCAAACATATTTAATCTGTTTTATGTCTATGGTTATATAAAAAAAAATACCACAGAAAAAAACAACTAGACTAATATAAATTTGAAACGTTCAATTGTTAAAGACAAGTAAACAAATTAATTAGCAATAGCATAAATAAATAAAACTGAACAAATGTCAGGTACAGAAATTGAAATCAAAAGTTTAAAAACACTGCATAATTTTCTTTTCATAAATAAAATATTGATAAATCCTCATTAAATTTATGAAAGATATTCAGTCAGTTAATTCTTTTCTTTTGTTCTTTGATTAACATTAATGATAGGCAGCACTTTTATTAGACGGCTGACTCTTTAACACCGAACACACACAGATCTAAAAATACTGTTACACATGCGTTTTCTTTCTCATCTGTTTATATTCACTTAAGACAAAAAAAACAGCTGTGTTTATGATGATATACCTACGTATTTCGTGCATACTGGTCGATAAATGTGAAAGAGAAGTCAGTTCTGGCCCGGAACAACCTTTGTGGAAATGCACGGAACAGTTCGAGAACGAACATAGGTCGGGAACTTGCATCGGGACCGCTGTTCTCTGTGCTGCACGCAAACAGTGTGCAAGTTCTTTCCCTTCCTGCACTTAAATAGTTTAAAATCGTTAAGCGGAATCGAAATGAACATGTCTTATCGAATACCCGATTATTGGAAATGTGAAACCGGTTCTCGATACCCAACCCTACTTATGTGGATAAATCATTTATTAGTGGTGTATTTCTGTGTGGTTTTAGGGCCCGACGCAGTGGCACGTTCAGATCATAATGGAGAAGCTGCTGAGGACGGTAAACAGGACTGTGATCTCCATGGGCCGAGATTCTGCTCTCATAGTAAGTGTTTCTCTATCTGTCACAGGCTTGTTCCTTTGGGATGTGCTGAGTTTTGGGCTTTCCTGTGTCTGTGGTTAGTAACAGTGTGTTCTACCAGTGCAGTTGGGCTGCTGTCTGCAATTCTCAAATGTCTATTTACATGAACTAACAGAGAGCAATTATTAGTATTAAGTTAAAAGTAGTGCTGTCAAACGATTAATCGCGATTAATCGCATCCTAAATAAAAGTTGTTGTTTACATAATATAAGTGTGTGTGTACAGTACTATGTTAAATTAAGTTATACTTTATTGTCCTTTACAGGAACTTTGTCTTGGACTCAAAAGCTGCAGTAGTACACAACAACCACATACAATAACAACAACAACAACATTATTAAAGTGGTCATATGATGCTTTTTTAAAGATCTTTATTTTGTTTATTTGGTGTAACAGAATATGTTGACATGCTTTTAACACATTATTTTTCAAATACTGTACATTATTGTAGGTCCTCTATGCCCACTTTATAGATCTTCTTTATGCACCAAGAGCTTGTAACACTCCAAAGAGAAAGGAAAACTTGAAATTGCATCATATGACCCCTTTATGAGATAATGAAAATAATGAAATAATAAAATGAGTGGAAAAAAAAAAGATCTTATCTATGCACAATCAGCTTGTAACACTCCAAAGAGAAAGGAAAACTTGAAATGGCATCATATGACCCCTTTAAGAGATAATGAAAATAATGAAATAATAAAATGAGTGGAAAAAAAATAATATATATATAGATATTTGACAAAACTTAAATGTTAAATGTGAATCTAGTATTCTTTAGCATTGCTGGTGCCATGCCATGAACCCTGCCCCCATAGCGAACTGAACCGAACCGAAACGAACCGTGGCATTGGTATATCGTTACACCCCTAACGCTCACAGCCATATGTGTGGAAGTGTCTAGTGATTGAGTCTTGAACATGGATGTGCAACTGAAGTACTTTCCTGCCTTTCTCAGTTATTACCCCACCATCATTCTCTCTCCACTAGAGTTCAGTAAGTAGCTCTGCGCTGTGGTGTTACTATAGAACTAACCTCTGATTTATGCCTCTTCTTTCTACTGAGCTTATGTTAAAAGGTCTCTAAACTCCAGATGCTCAAGTCCTAATGGTCGAGTCACATAATGCCCATTCATCGCTCTCAGGGTACATGTACTCTTTGCTGACCTTTTCAGTAAATCCCTCTGTCTTATGCGGTCCAATCGTGTGCCAAGCCGAGCACATCTGCCAGCAAGAGGGCTGGGCGAAATATCCAACATTTATGAAAACTGAGTATTAGACTGCCATTAAACTAGTTTCATTCTGACTTGAGTATGAGAGAATTAATGTCATTTCTGTGAATCGGTTCAGTTTCATTGAATCGAATCTTTTAATAATTGGCATCATCAGTAAATGTTTACACAGGTATGTGCATGGTTTTTGTAATAGATTCAAATTTGTATGTAGGCAGATGTTTATTACTTTCACATTTATGCATTTTGGCAGATGCTTTTGTCCAAATCGACTTTTTGCATTTTCAATTCATGCATTCTCTGGGAATCGAACCTGTGACCTTGGTGTTGCTGGCGCCATGCTTTACTATTTGAGCTTTTTTAGTATGCATTTATATTTATTATGTATTTGTTATATTGATGCATAAAAACTATTAATAAGTATTCTTGTGGTAGTTTCTAAATGGCTTTTTCAGTTCATGCATTCCCTGGGAATCGAACCCATGACCTTGGCGTTGCTAGTGCCATGCTCTACTGTTTGAGATAAAATAACTTGAGATATAATAAAATATATTGATGCATTACAATGATAAGTAAATATTCTTGTATTCATTTACTGAAAAGCAGTGCTAAAACATGATTATTTTTTAATAAGGTTATTCAATTCTTGATTAAATTTTGTTTAAATTCATCTGTAAAAATCTAATTGGCTACAAGTGGCTTTTTGAGCTTATGCGTGACCTTGGCATTGGTAGTGCCGTGCTCTATTGTTTGCATGATTTTTTTAATTTATTATTTTAGTATGCATTTGTTATATTGATGCATAAAAATGACAGTTAAAAAATAATTGTTTTTGATAGACTAATTCTTGATAAAATTATTTTAAATTCAACATTTTGTATCTAATTGGCAATAAATGGCTTAAAATGTTGCTTGAAAAATCATTGAAAAACCATCTTCATTTTATGCCATTTTAGAACAGTGCCAAAGAAAAAGAAAAAAAAATCCCAGCCCCTACTTTTAATTATGCAAACATGTCATTATTTACTGCTGAATTTCAATATTTGAAGGTCTCAGATTTATAGATTTGACTTCTTGTGATTGAAGCTGTCTGTTTATGCTTTTTTAAGTATAAGTATGTTTAAGAATGTATGTGCTGCAGATTTGGTTGAATTGTGTGTAGATTGATAGTACATTTAATGTGTGTGTGTGTGTATTTGCTCTCTGTGAGCAGCTCTTTCACGCTGACCTTGTTTGTCAGGGCTCTGTTGCTTGGATTCAGGTTTATGCATTAACTTTTCTCTGTGGTTTTGCTGGATATGAGTGTAGAATTTAAATGAGACTGGTCAGCGCGTGCACACACACACACTATTTTTCACCTAATGTATGTTAGCAACCATTTAACAATGCAATGTTAACCATCTAGAACACATTAAGTGCATAGCAATATGCTAAAAACCACTCAGAACAACCTCTGCAGCATCATATGTTGCATATATAGTGAGTTTTGCATGATCAGACAAAAAGATCTGGAGGATCACCACTCCAGTATTTTATGATCTGATGTTAGCGTTTTAATCTTTTCTCTGCATGTGTTGCATTTAAGTCCTTATAAACCTCATCTTTACCATCCAGGAGGCTTTTTTCTTCTTTGTCAGGATCAGTGCTTGTGTATATTCAGTTTTTTTTAGCCCCCCCCATTCCTCTGCAGTAGGCGGGGCCAGGTGGAGAAAGCAGGCTTTTGATTGGCTGCTCTGTTTGATTGACATTCCAGGCCTGACGGCGGGTACGGTCTGCAGCATCAGTGCAGCAAAATCCTCTTCGATTTACATTCTCACCACATTCTCTGTGCATTAAATATACATTTGTGATGATAGAGAGGCTCTTCAGATTGATTTATTTCTATCTGTAGGTTTTTGCTGACTGTCCTCCTTTAAGTGCTTTTCAGATGAGTTTTTCAAACTCTCGCATGGGAAATACCGAACATTTGCCGCTGCAAGCATGCATGGGAATTCCCAGCTTAATAAACATGGAAATGCACACACACTCCTTCATTGTGACCTGGAGAATTTTAATAACTCTTAGTCTCTTTCGCTTTGCTGCTGGAAAATGAGAGGGAGGTAGAGAAATACATTGACGATCCCTTCAAAGGAACATTTTATTTATTTATTTATTTATTTAAATAATATATTTGCTCCAAAACAGCTTTATTATATTTTTTTATTTATATTTTTTTATTTTAAATTGACGATGCACAAATACATCAATATCCATGTGGGCTTCTTTTTCCCCACTCAAACTAATTAACTAAAATATATATAATATATTTTATAAAATATTATAAAAATATATGTAATCATTGACAGTCTAAACTAAATATTTATTAAAATTACAATATAACGCAAAGCTACTTTTTTTATTTATTTCATTTACTGATTTTTATGTAGTTTTTTTATGAATTATTATTATTTATTTTTTTATTTTATTTTTAATTTGACTCTTTTGAGGGTTATTCCGCCTCAGATGTTTTTCTGAAACTCTCTCTCTCAACACTGTTATCGTGATCCTCACAGCAGGCTTTGTACTAATATTAAATAAATCCACAGAATCAATCCCATGAACTTGCTGTTGCCATCTGGAGTGAATCGTAGTCATCGGGTCTGTATTTGTACTTTATTTATTTATTTATTTATTTATTCTCTCCCTGCTGCTCCTAGATCACTACAGTGGGTTTATTCTTATCCAGTGTAATCTGGGCGGACGAAATGGTGAACATGATGGGAACAGATCTCACTTCCTTCTGAATCTAAAGCTGCTATTCACACATATTTACACATTCCAACAATTAGCATCTGCAATGCCACAGTAGGGTACCTGAAATCAACACTGCCAAATTTCCGGTGAAATACAACATTATACAATTCTGATATGAGACCACCATTGAAAACTCACCCTCAGGCTAGTTGAGCTTAGTTAAAGTCCCCATGAAATCAAAATTAGTTGATTAGTTGAAAAAAAGTTTTTTGGGTGTTAGTATCAATATGTTAGTCTTAAGGTTATCTATAAGGCAGTGTGCTCCAAAACAGTGACAAAATTTGCATTTAGAAGATATAAGCATTCAAAGCTTGCAGTTCGTCACTTCCGCCAAAACGGCTCAACGTTTTTTTTGACGTCACATCGTACTTCGGCTTCTCATCAAACTTTCTGTCCAATCAAATGCTCTCTAGAAACTGAAGCGCCTGCCCCCTACACTATAAAATAGATGCTGAAGCCGTGGCTGAAATCGGTCACTTGTCCACAGAATTAATATTTTCTGTACAGTGAATGGCACGTAGTGCACTATATAGGGGACAGGGAACGATTCAAACTGTGTAAATATGCTTTCCATTGTATTTTCTACACAGAATGCTATATTTTATAGCAATATGGATGAGATTGTGGCTGGCATGCCCTGTCAAATGCAGCTTTACGGAGCTCAATGGCTCTGAACGGCTCTAGCCCAAGCTGTGATATAAACGACCGCTATTGGCTGTTTTAAAAAGGGACGGGCTGCTTGATATGTCCCACCCTGTCTTCCTGTTTCAGTTTAAATGACGTCCACACATAGAGTAATGCTGCGTGTTTCTAAGCATTTCAGGGGACCTTTAATGTCAGCTAACTCTAATTTATTTACCTCATTTGCAGTGATTTATGAGTTTTTTCCTCCCTCATAAAATTAGATAAATAAACATTTATATCATGTGTAACAATTAAT